CCTGAGATAAATTTATGTTCTCTCTCAAAGGATCTGGGTGGATTCAGGATCTAAGCTAAGAGTTCCTTGGGGAAAAAAACTCTCGGCCCAGGTCTCCAACATTGGTGTCCTTCCAAGGGATCTCAGAGGTCTTCTAGTCCAACCCCCTACTGAAGCAGGAGAGCCTATATCTTTCTGGACAAATGACTGTCCAATCTTTTCTTACAAACTTCTATTCTGTTCTGTTCTATTCTGCTCTGCTCTGCTCTGCTCTACTCCAAATCTATTCTACTCTATATAATTATACTCTATTCTATTCTTCACTGCTCTATTCTATTCTGTTATGTTAGAGGTATGCAACCAACCCGCAACAGTTGACGGGCCTTGTGCAGCTGGCCGGCTTGCAAGGTGTGTGTGTGTGTGGGGAGGTGTCCCTCCCCCGGTTCTGTGGCCACCTCCTTGCACAACTTCCTGCTGGCGTTCAGCGCAGCATGGAGGAGATGCTAAACGACTCAATTAGTGGCGGTTTCAGATGTTGATCATAAAAAAAATCCCCACCCCTGTTTCCATCTAATTAGATGGGACATTAGTCGGTGCCTCCATCTTCAATTAGAACAAAAAAAAATACATTTCAAATGTACTTTTAATTTATTTGCGCCTTGGATTCAGCCACCACCGGGGGTGGGTGGGATGGGGAAGATGGGCAGGGGTCGAAATGGCGAGATTGACAGCTCAGCCAGAAGCTGCGCATGGGTTGAAGTTATGGAGAGGGGAGGCAGCCTTGAAGGGCTAGGAGAGAAGGCATGAGAGGGAGGGGGTCGTATAGGTCATCTAGTCCAGCCCCTTGTTTCGGTGTCTAGCTGTGGAATTAAAGGCAAATCCTCAACTTACAATCACAAAAGAATTACAGCTACAGACAGTTGCGATTAACCCGAAATCCAGGCAATGTTGCTGTTTTTAAGGGCAAATGATATCCCCGCCGAATTAAATTGTTGATTCATTTGTTCCAAAAAAAAAAAGTTAAAAAAGAAGATTGGCAGCGCAGAATGAGATATTACGATTTGGCTCAGGCCAATTGGCGTTTCCGACTGCCAAAATTCTGCATTTTCAAGATTAGCCTCAATACGTTAACTCAGCCATCTGTATTTACCCGCAGGGCGACGGTCCTTGCGTCAGAATATAATCTCTTCACAGGAAACAGAAAAGGCCAATTAGTCTCCAACTGGGAGAGGCAGCCACTGGCTGACTTTGGTGGAGGGTAAAAAGCTGAGCATCGGAGTTTTCTTCCTGGACGGATGGGAGACCACCAGGAGATGTCCACTGCTAATGGGGAAGTCCAGAATTTGTCCCTCCCATCTCCACTTCTGCTACAAAAGGATCTAGACCAGGGTTTCTTTAAGATGAGTGGACTTCAGCTCCCAGAATTCCCCAGCCCAGCTATGGGGTTTTGAGGGGGGGTATGATTGCCACCTTGAATTATTTGTAAAAAATAATAAAGGTGGGATACAAATAGATAGATAGATAGATAGATAGATGATAGAGAAAGAGAGAAAGAATGATAGAGAGATGATAGAGATGATAGAGACAGAGCAATAGAGAGGTAAAGAGAGATAGATGATAGAAAGAGAGAGATAGAGAGAGAATGATGGATAGATAGAGAGATGATAGAGAAATAGAGAAAGAATGATAGATGTTAGAGATGATAGAGAGACAGAGGTAGATAAAGAGATAGAAAGAGAGAGGATAGAGAGACAGAATGATGGATGGATAGAGAGATAGTCAGATAGATGAGAGAGAGAGAGAGAGGGAGAGAGAAATTTGCTTATTTTAAAGGCTCCAATAATTTTGAACGGAGTCCAGCAAAGCCCCCCAGAGATCTATGGAAAGATCCCTCCCAGCCATGGTTCATCCCAGGTAGACTGCTCCTGAATAAGGAGGTACAGGTAGCCCTGGACTCACAACAGTTCATTTAGTGACCGTTCGATCTTATAACGGCCCTGACTTTAGGACTGTTACGACCGTTGCAGGATCCCAGAGGTCCCGTGATCAAAATTCAGGCCTTTGGCAACTGGTTCCCATTTATGACGGTCGCAGCATCCCCGGCTCACGTCACCCCCTTTCCGACAAGCCCACTCAGTGGGGGGAAAGCCAGATTTCATTTAACAGCCAGGTTACTAACTGAAGCGCTGCAGCGGTTCCCCTCAGCAAGCCCCCCCCCCCACTTCCTTTCTCCTCCTCCCCCCCCTGTGAGATCCGCACTCGGCTGACCTTGGCTGTCCCCCATCCCCGCTTTTGTGTCGAGTGACAAATTGTGCGATAGCACACAATAAGCTCCCCAGCAGCAACAATGGAGGGGGCTTTAATTGATTGCGCTCCCCTTCCTCTTTTTTTGGAAGGAAGACATTGATTTGACCCTGCAAATCACACACACACACATACACATACACACACACAACCAATCATTACGAGACTTAATGCGCATCAAAAGACAGTTTATTATCTCGGAAGCCTGACGGCTTTTTGTCTTTTAATTATTATTTTAATGACATCTTTGTTATCTCCGGCAGGGCAAAATTCTCTCTTTTTTTCTCTCTCTTCCTGGATCAGTAAAGGAGAAAGACAGCCTCTTTTTTTTCTTCCCTGCTGCAAAAATACAGGTGGTCCTCGACTTACGACGACAACAGAGCCTGAAATTTCTGTTGTTAAGTGAAGCAAAACTCACTTAACGACAAAGCCGTGGGAAAGTGGGGCCGTCGTAAGTCAGGGACTACCTGCAGCCCCTGCCCAAAGGGATGCTGGGAAGGCTTCCTTGCCGGGTAAAGAGGTTGCGGAAGCAAAGTCATTAATAGGACATTCGCGCCGCCCTCGTAAAAGGCAAAACGCACTTCAGCCATGCCCAGAGGAGCAGCAAAGCAGCCTTCCAGCCGAGATGGTGGGAAAGGAGGCCTTTCCCGGCCTGGCTGGGGAATCCCGGAATGGCGTTGGAGGCCCTGGCAGATGTTGGAAGCAGCTGGAGGGGAATTGCCGGGTCCCCCCTCTCCTCTCTTCCCGGCTCTCCCGAGGAAGCCAAGCGCTCTTCCCTCAAAGCCCAGCCTCCCCCCCCACACACACACACACGAAAGAGGGGGGGGCTTGGCATCCTGTGGGCACCCCTGGGGTGGTAGCCCTCCGAGGAATAAGAGCGGAGTGGAGGAGGGAGGGAGAAGGAAGGAAGGATAAAGGGAGAGAGGAAAGGAAAGGAAAGGAAGGAGAAAGAGGGAGGGAGGAGGGAAGGAAGAAGAAAGGGAGGAATGTAGGCAGAGGGACAAGGGAGGGAAGGAGGAAGGAAGGAAGGAAGGAAGGAAACAGGCAGAGGGACAAGGGAGGGAAGGAAGGAAGGAAGGAGAAAGGGAGAGAGGAATGCAGGCAGAGGGACAAGGGACGGAAGGAAGGAAGGAAGGAAGGAAGGAAGGAAGGAAGGAAGGAAGGAAGGAAGGAAGGAAGGAAACAGGCAGAGGGACAAGGGAAGGAGGAAGGAAGGAAGGAAGGAAGGAAGGAAGGAAGGAAGGAAGGAAGGAAGGAAGGAAGGAAGGAAGGAAGGAAACAGGCAGAGGGACAAGGGAGGGAAGGAAGGAAGGAAGGAAGGAAGGAAGGAAAACAGGCAGAGGGACAAGGGAGGGAGGAATGTCTATCTATCTGTCTGTCTGTCTGTCTGTCTGTCTGTCTATCCCTCCCTCCCTCCATCCATCCATCCATCCATCCATCCATCTATCCAATCATCTAAAGTACTCAAAGGCAAAGGCAACCCATTCATTTGGTCCCTTAAGGAACTAATGCTTGAAAAGGGAACGTTCATAAAACCCACAAGCACCTACAGTAAAAAGCACCATAAAACCTTCGTGTAACACAAGTGGGGCCGATGCAACACCTCCCTCTGCAGTATCAAAGCCAGACTTGCTTGCAGCCAAAACTCCGGGCAGAGCAAGGAAGGGCTGAGCGGGGGGGGGGGGGGCTGCCAGGACGAGAGTCTTGGGACTTCAGACTCTTCTTAAAAACGTGGGGGTCGTGTGTGTGGCATTCACCGCACAACTCTACAATTTCAGTGTTGTGTTATTTGGGCTGGGTCTGGCTGTCTCTGGGTCTGGGTCTCTTTCCTTGTTCTGAATGAATGAAGGATCATATCTCGGATATGGCTGAAGTGGTCCAATTGGGAAGCTCTTTGTGAAAATGTTTGAAATGACTTATTTCTTTTTTGCAGGAAAAAATAAGAATTACGTTATTGACAGCCGTATCACTTTTCATTTCCACAAACTTTCTATGTGTATTAAAATTGCATGTTGCCCAAGCTTGGCTGGGACATTGGAAGGAAATTGGGCATGTTGTTAGAATTTTACATTTTACCCCAATTTGGCTATTTTGTACGTACATGGGAACTGCAAAAGTGCGGAGGCGATGCCACCTTTTTTAAAAACTGGCATCTGTCAATCAGCTAGGGGCTGCCACAGAGAAGAGGGTGTCCACCTATGCTCCAAAGCACTGAGGACAGGATGAGAAGCAATGGATGGGAACTAATTTCTAGAAGCAACTTACAAATAAAGAGAAATTTCCCGACAATGAGAACAATCAGTGGGAGGGCTTCTCTCCAGAAATTGTGGGTGCTCCCTCACTGGAGGTCTTCAAGAAGACGCTGGACAGCCAGTTGTCTGAAATGGGTTAGGGTCTACTGCATGAGAAGAGGGCTGGACTAGAAGACCTCCAAGGTCCCTTCCAGGTCTGTTGTCCTGTAGGAAAGCATCTCCGGCTTGAGCAGGGGGTCAGACTAGAAAACCTCAAGGTCCCTTCCAGGTCTGTTATCCTGTATGAAAGCATCTCTGCCTTGAGCAGGGGGTCAGAGTAGAAGACCTCCAAGGTCCCTCCCAGGTCTGTTGTCCTGTATGAAAGCATCTCCGGCTTGAGCAGGGGGTCAGACTAGAAGACCTCCAAGGTCCCTTCCAGCTCTGTTGTCCTGCGTTCTAAAAGGCCCCTCTCTCCTTCTCTTCCAGGAAATCGCTGCCTACCTAATAACATTCGAAAAGCATGAAGAATGGCTAACAACTTCCCCTAAGACCAGGTAAGGCGGTCTCCTCTCGCGAAAGCTCGGCGGATGGCTTTGCTCAATCGATGCTGGTCCCTAAAAGGGGGCGGAGGGGGGGCGAGAGGTGGGGAGGGGTTGGGAAGGAGGGTCAGGCTGGGGAGGACACGCCCCCCCCAACCCCACCTGCCACACTCGAGAGCTCCTGACACCCAGGTCCGTGGACTTCATGAGCGTTTTATCGCGTGAAATCAAAGCGATGGAAAGTGATCTTGACTGGGTGGGTGGACGGAGAGGTCGCCTCTGAAGGGTTCCAGTTGACTTGGGGGGTGGATGATGGGGCTGAAGGATGGGATGTCTCTGGTCCTCTCCTTGTGACCTTTTTTTATGACGTGGGGGGTCTGCTCGCGTGAAGAGAAGTCCCCTTGCAAAGAAGACCAGTAGCATATCTCCCTGGCTTCCCGCAACAACCATGTTCCTAACTTACCACCCGCAGTGATTCCCTTAACAACATTGGCCGGAAAGGGTTGCAAAACGGGGTAAAACCCGCTGAACAAACGTCTCCCTTAACAACAGAAATTTGAGGCTCAGTCCTGGTCGTAAATTGAGGACTAGCTGCATTCTGATCCAACCAACCAGTGACAGAGCTTAATATCCGAAGCCAGATTGTCTTGATCGATGTCAAACGTCCCAGCTGTTGACACCTTAAATATTCCAAATTTTTCCTTTTTTTTTTGTTCTGAATGGATGCGAATTCGCAGTCCCTGCCAGCCCTTGAATGTGTTCAAATATTGCAATCCGATACCTTATTATGCCAAATGCGGTTATCAAAGATTCAGCGAACGTTTGAGCAGAATAGACACATATTCCAAAACGATCTGGCCTCTATTCAATGTAGCTGAGATTTTGGAGCACAACGGGGGTTTTTTTTTGGGTTTTTTTTTTTTTGAGATTTCAAGGAGCAGATTAATTTCAGGTCCACTTAATTCAAAATGAATGAGAATTGGCTGAGTGCGTTTGAATATTATCCTCAACAGAGAAAGCTCTCTGTAATCAAAGAGAGAAGCAACCTAACACTAAGGAGAAATTCCCTGACGGGAAAACAATTAACCAGTGGAACAGCTGGCCACCAGAAGTTGTGGGTGCTCCAACAATGGAGGTTTTTAAGAAGAGATTGGACAACCATTTGTCTGAAATGGTATAGGGTTTCCTGCCTGAGCAGGGGGCTGGACTAGAAGACCTCCAAGGCCCCTTCCAGTTCTATTCTGATTGATTGATTGATTGATTGATTGATTGATTGATTGAAATGGTCTAGGATCTCCTGCTTGAGCAAGGGGCTGGACTAGAAGACCTCCAAGGTTCCTTCCAGTTATATTCTGATTGATTGATTGATTGATTGATTGATTGATTGAAATGGTCTCAATTACAGCAATAAACTGAGGACTACCCGTATGAATAAATAAGCTTTTCTTAAGGAAACAATCGTTTAATCACCGAATTAGGTTGCATTTATTAATTCTTTCTCCTTACCTCCTTACAGTGTCACCGCACTAATAATTTTGTTTATAAATTGCTGTGCAAAATCTACCGAACGCTTTACCGTTTGATTTGATTTTTAACTTCTTGTTTTGATCTAAAATTCCTTAATAACTAATTACTTGCTGGGAAAACTCCTAGCGCTTGCTGTCGGCTGTAATAAGTTGGACGTGTTTAATTTTCCGGGTATATTTAGCAACTTGCAAACGAGAGGGGGAAAAATTTACATGGTGTCATAACAGGATGAAAACAGGGCTGGCCTTTTAAAAGAATCCGGAAGAATTGCAGGGATAAATCTTTCGATTTCATTGAAATTCGCTGTTTTTGATTAGCCAGGATATAAATTGGTAGCCTGGTCCGCTTCGATGGAAAGTTGGAAGCAGAGTTGAGAGGTGTCAGCCAGGTAGGTGTGAATGGTTGACCCGGGTTTGTGCTGATAGTCTTCTAGAGCCAATGTGGATGGCTTTGAACGTAGGTCATAGAATGATAGAGTTGGAAGGGACCTCGGAGGTCTTCTAGTCCAGCCCCTAGACCATTCCAGACAAATGGCTGTCCAATCTCTTCTTAAAAACCGCAGTGTCCTGGTTTCCCAGGGTCCTGTGATTTGCAAAGAAGATGTCCTCTGGCAGGCCCACCGTTAAATGGAATATGCTTATCAGTTAAAGGGTCCCGTTGCGAGATTTTTGCTCAGCCAACTTCTCCGGATGGCTGTGGACGTTATCAGAAGAACACAAATGTACAAACTCTGTCCTGCGTTGCACTCTGCTGCGGATGGCATCTGGTGTCAACACCGCCATAATTGTTCCCTTTTTTTTCCACGGCGGCTAGAAAAATGCACTAATACGTTAACTTAAGCATTAGTGAAGCTAATTAAAAACTAAATGCCACATCAAGATAAATTAGCAGGCTATATTTTGTGATGGGTTGCCTTTGATACGATTCTTTTAATCATAGTTATTTCCTTCCTCTTTTCCTCCCTCCCTTCCTCTCTTCTTCCATCCCCTCCCTTCCTTCCTCCCTCCCTCCCTTCCTTCCTTCCTTCCTTCCTTCCTTCCTTCCTTCCTTCCTTCCTGTCTTCTTCTCCTCCCTCCCTCCCTTCCTCCCTTCCTTCCTGTCTCCTGCTCCTTCCTTCCTTCCTTCCTTCCTTGAGTCTTCAAGAAGAGACTGGACAGGGATTGGTCCTGAATAGTATATGGTCACCTGCTTGAGCAGAGGGCTGGACTAGAAGGCCTCTGAGGTTCCCTTCCAGTTCTGTTAATCTGTTATTCACCACCATTTATCACATCAGCAGGCCAACAAAGCGGATGATTTGATTCCAAATGGCATAATCCGAGTCATTAATGCAGGGAGATTATGACGTAGGTGGCGTTGTGTGCTTCTCCAGCAGGCACACACACACAGAGAGACACACATGATCACTGAAGGCTGCTCAATTTTATAAATGACATGGTATATATATATATATATATATATATATATATATATATATATATATATATATATATACACACACACACACACACACACACACATACACATACACATACATATATATTTTGCAGCTTCAAATGGAAGGGAAACGTTTGGATGTCAGGATGCATCTTAATTGTGTGGAGATGGGCTGTTCTGCAGGTGTGCAGGGACCTGTGCAAAAATATTAATTTGGCATTATATAATTAATGGCGGTGTTAATTGATGAATTATTCAGTGTTTGTGTCAAAATAGGGGCAGTAAATATTAATAATTTGCTTTACGGAGGGAAATTTCATTAAAACCGAGATTAGTCAAAGTTGGTTTGAAGCGAAGGCTGGGAACAATGGCGGGGCTGAATTAATGAACGAGGATAAGGTCATAACGCTACCTCACGTTCTTTTGCCTGGGACAAAAAAATAATAATAATCCTTTTTGAAGGCAGCTGGCGACGGTGCCGAGATAACTAAAGGACATGAAAAATCGTTGGGTGTTTTCTGATGCTGCTTTGAATCCTTGGGGATCGTCCTCAAGGTTGCTCCGTTAATTTCGTGCTCAGAAATGCCTGTTGGTTAAAAAGCAACTCGCTCATCCTGGCAGGATCGGAGTTGGTCCCTGTTAAAGCAGCTAACTATGAGAAGGATCTTGGAGTCCCAGCGGACGATCCCTTAAACACGAGCCAGGCGTGTGCGGCAGCGGCCAAAAAGGCCAACACGATTCTTGGTTGCATAAACAGAGGCAGAGAATCAAAATCATGTGAAGTGTTACTACCGCTTTATAAAGCCGTAGTAAGGCCACACCACTTGGAATTCTGCATCCAGTTTTGGTCCCCGCAATATAAAAAAAGATGTTGAGACTCTGGAAAGAGGGCAGAGAAGAGCAACTGAGATGATCAGGGTGCTGGAGGCTAAAACATACGAAGAAGGACTGGGGATGTCTAGTTTAATGAGGAGAAGGACTGGGGGGGACATAGAACACAGAGTTGTAGGTCTGGAAGGGGCCTTGGAGGTCATCCAGTCCAACCCCCTGCTCAGGCAAGAGACCCTATACCATTTCAGACAAATGGCTGTCCAGTCTCTTCTTGAAAACCTCCACTGTTGGACCATTCATAACGTCCGGTGGCAAGGAGTTCCACTGATGAATTGTTCCCACTTTCAGGAAGTTTCTCCTTAATTCCAGGTTGCTTCTCTCCTTGATGACTTTCCATCCGTTGCTTCTTGTCCTGCCTTCAGGGGCTTTGGAGAAGAGGTGGGATGGGCTCAGAAGATCAGGTTTTTCACGTACTACCTGAAAGCGGACAATTTTGACACCTGTCCTCCGTCCCGTCTCCCGTCCCTGGGATGAAATCCCAGCTAAACAGAGATAACGGTGTCGCGCTTCACAAACCTGATGGATTTTCTCCGGCGGAGCCCTATCAATATGTCAGCCAGCCCGCCTGTACGAATACAATTTAAAAAAAAAAAAATCTTTCTCTTTTCAGAAGACGTAAAGTAGACCAAGCTGGAATAATAGATATTGATTATAAAGATTTTTTTTGCCCCCCCCCCCCTTCTCGCAGTCTTCCGGGAGAGTTGCAAAGCCAATAGCGGCTCCCTTGGATGGCGTGGCCCCCACTTGGCTTAAAATATCCCTAAATGGCAGGCGTGCTGCTGCAACTGAGACCGGCTCGCTGTCTTTGACAGTTTAATTTTAAATATGATTCCCATGAATTATGCAGTGAGGCAGCAGACGAGAAGGAAGGCTCCCCTCTTTGGCATTTGGAAGAAAGTCTTGCTTAAGAGAAGTCAGTTTAATGTCGGGCAGAACCTGGTTTAGACCTCTTTCTTAGGGAAGGGGTTAAGATTTGAGGTCTCTGGTGGTGATTCCAGGTACTGCAGGCAGTCCTTGACTTAACCACGATTCCTTTACAACAGCTCTCAAAAGGGACTTATGACCATCTCTCACGCTTACGGCCGTTGCGTTGTCCCTGTGCAGTCACGTGACCTTCCGACATGCCTAAGGCGGGACTAGAACTCCCAGTCTCCTGGTGATTG